GTGAAAAAGCCAACTACAGTGGTGAGGTCTGCAAAGTAGCTTTGAAAGTAGAAAAGGTGTCGGTGGAGGACGGAGAGGCTGAAGCTACAGTCATTGTGACTGGAACTCAGTCGGAAAACCTCCTGAAATTTGTGTCTGGGCAGCCAGGCATAAAGCTCAGGGCACATTTGTGCCATAGAGATTGCGACCAGCTGAGGAGCAATCCTGATCTTCTTCACCTTAAAGACTTTCAGCGCATCAAGCCAGGCAGTGTGACAGGATGGGAAGAGAATCTCATTGCGGTCGACGAGAACGCAGAGCTGAGGAGAGAGATGAAAGAGAAGACAGACAAGAAAGAAAAGAAAGAAAAGGAAGCAGCGGAGGAGTCAAGCCAGAGTGGAGAGTCCAAGAAGGCGAGAAAAAGAAAGAAGAAAAAGAAAGAGAGGAAAGAGAAAAAGAAAAAAGTGGGGGGCCGAAGCCAGGCCAAGAAACCCCTGGAGGCTCTGTACGGGAATACGGGGCTCGATCCGGACAGCAAAAAGAGGAAAAGGATTGTGGCCCGGATGAAAAAGAAGTTAAAAAAGGCAAAAACCTCGTCCAGCAGTTCGTCGGCGAGTTCCAGCACCAGCACCTCGGAGGGGGAGACAGTGGAGGACGACTTGCTGCAGGACAGGTCAAAGTTGCAGAAGATTGCAACGATGGCCCCAGGAGTCTTGGCGGCATCGTCGCTGCAGACCATGAAGTCTTACATCATGCAGAGCAGCGGCAACCCGTGGCATTTGGAAGAAGGGAGTCTCCCCCCAGTGCTTTCACAGTATGCCAGGCAGTACCTTTTGGGGAAAGCCAGTGGTGGGATTCGTCGAGAAATAGAGACGTTGGTGTGCATTGGAGATTATCTCCTGCTGGGCAGGGCAGCGGAGGCCTGCGACTGCCTTGTGCAGCGAGTGAAGAGCTTAGAGATGACCCTGGCGGGCCAGAGCTGGGCCACGAGTCAGAAACTAGAAATAATCCCCAATGTGGACGCTGGAGTGGCGTCAAGGGCAGAACTCCAGTTAGCCCAGAAGGAGGCAGCACTCGACATGAAGGCGAAAGGGAGCAGTCCCGCCTGGCCAAGAGACAAAGGAAAAGGGAAAGGCAAGGACAAGGAAGGAGGAAAGGACAAGGGCAAAAACAAAGGAAAAGCTCCCGAGGCGCCAAAGAAAAACTCCTGAGTGTGGGAGAAAAAAGAAGAAGAATAGCAGAGGGAGAAAAGGTTTGCGCTCTTAGAGATACTCCCGAGGATGATGGGAGTGAAAGAAAAAAGGCAACAGGAGGATGCGACAGTAAAGGAAGTGAGGACGCAGGCAGAAGCTCCAGGACGATGCAGAGAAAGGGAGAAGACTGTAGGGCGGTAGCAGAGGGAGTCAATGAGCTCCCGGTTGGGTTTCACTTTTTCCGTGGAGGAGCTGCCACTCCTCCTGGTAGTGTGCATGAATCTTCTCCCGATGTGGATGAAGGTACAGCTGACGACAGCCAAGGCACAGGCTTGGGCCGCGCCAATGCTGGAAAAAGTTGGGAGCCGACCACACTAGTTTCGGAATAGAACAGATTTTCAAGTGGCTGGAAAGCAAGGTGGATTTGTTTAGGTGTAGGCTCTGTAAGGTCGCGCCCACGGGTAAAGTTTTTCCTTTACCCACATCCCTCTTGCTGCTACGCCACCTTTTTTCTGAAGCTAGGGAGTCGTGGTTGGTCTGTCTCAAAGTGTTAGGGCTTTCTTTGAATTCCCTTAATGGGGAAGGACTTGAATTTGTTGGAGAGAATGTTTCCAAGTTGCAGAAGCAAGTTCTTGAAGGTCTACTACCAGCGTGCAAGCGGGTGTGTGAGTGGACTGAGCGATTGGACGCGTTTTCGTGGCATGACTTCTTTTGTGTAAGAGGGGTCGACTATAAAGGTGATGAAATCCTGAACGCACAGTGGATTAGGTGGGAAAATGTCAGCCCTGCGTTGCCTGTTGAGATTGGAGGGGTGGAGTTAGAGAAGGTGGTTGAGCTGGGTTCTCATCACTATGCGCTTAATTTCGACACGTACCTGTTGGCGCCAGAAGATCAGGTCTATGTGCGCCCCCCGCGCGTGATGGTTGCACCAGAGTGCTGGGATGCTTTTTGCGATAATATGTTGCAGAGGGGAGTCTTTAGCATGGTGCATGAAGACGAGATCTATCGGGTTCAGGATAAGCCCCTTCTTAACGGGTTATTCGGGGTGTCTAAGCACGAGTTTGAGGGGAACTACGAGGTGATGAGGGTCATTATGAACCTTGTGCCGGTGAATGCGGTATGTCGAGGGTTGGACAGCGACATTGCTACCTTGCCGTCAATTTCTGGGATGACGCCTTTGGAACTTTTGTGTGATGAGGATCTGGTGATTTCCAGTGAGGATGTACGATGTTTCTTTTACATCTTCAAGATCCCCCCTAGCTGGCATCGCTTCATGGCTTTCAATCGTCCTCTTCCTGCTCGACTCTGTGGAGATAAACCTGGAGTATGGTACCCGTGTAGCTCTGTCTTACCAATGGGTTTTAAGAACAGCGTAGCGTTAGCCCAACATGTGCACAGGGTTATTGCCAAGAAGGCGTTGGTACGGTGTCACCGTGGGGGGGAGGTCGAAATGCGAAAGGATAGAAGTTTCACTACGAGCAATCCCCTCATGAGAATTTATTTAGATAATTTTGATGAGCTTCGCAAAGTCTCAAAGGGACATGCGGAAGCTATTGCAGGTCATGTTTCACCGTTGGTTTCTAGTTTACGGGAGGAGTATGCATTGCTGAAGGTTCCCCGTCACCCTAGAAAAGGGGTGGCGAGTCAAACTCTTGCTGAAGTTCAAGGTGCGGTGGTTGATGGTAAAGCCGGAATTGCGTATCCCAAGCAGGAGAAGGTTCTCAGGTACGCTTATTTGACCAGGCTTGTGCTTGAAGCAGGTGAAGCCACACAGAAACAGATGCAGATTGTCGGTGGAGGCTTGGTTTATTTGGCGATGTTCAGGAGACCGCTCCTAGGTAGCCTTAACGCTATTTGGACCTTTATCTGCTCCTTTGAAGGATTTCCCCCCGTGGTCAAATTGAAACTGCCTGAAGAGGTCCGAGAAGAATTGGCAAGGTTTCTAGGGTTGATTCCTTTGGCTTACATGGACTTCCGTTGCCGCCTTAGTAGCTTGGTAACCGCTAGTGACGCGTCAACTACGGGCGGGGGTGTTACGGCTTCCAACAAGCTATCGCCTGCGGGTTGTGTGGCAGCCCAGTGTCCTGTACGGGGGGATGTGGTGGAGCCAACAGACATTACGGGTGTGCTTACCGTGGGGTTGTTCGATGGCATCAGTGGGTTACGAGTTGCCGCTGACGTCCTTGGTTGGAACGTAATGGGGCATATTAGTGTTGAGCGGTCGCCGGAAGCAGCCCGAGTTGTTGAATCACGGTTTCCCAACACTATTCATGTGTCAAATGTGCAGGACATCACTGGTGAGATGGTTAAAGACTGGTCCCTGAAATTTTCTCAGGTGGGCCTCATACTGCTGGGGGCTGGTCCCCCATGTCAGGGGGTATCAGGTCTAAATGCTGCACGAAAAGGAGCGCTCCGAGATGAACGTAGTGCTGTGTTTCAGCATGTACCCCGCGTAAGAGATTTGCTGAAAGCAGCCTTTCCGTGGGCCCAAGTTCAGACTTTGATGGAATCAGTGGCATCCATGGACCAGAGTGACGAGGAGATCATGTCGGCTAGTTTCGGTGCTACACCTTGGTATATTGATGCTGGAAATGTGAGCCTGGCTCACAGACCACGGTTGTATTGGACGGAATGGGAATTGGTGGCTGAAGAGGATGCCACTTTGGATGTTCTTCCGTCTGGTCGGGCACGTATCACATTAAAGGCCCATGTTGAGCCAGCAAAGTATCTTCATGAAGGATGGTCTATGGTTGATCAAGGTTTACTGCCAACGTTTACCACCTCTAGGCCGAGATCGGCACCAGGCTATAAGCCTGCAGGTCTTCGACAGTGTTGTCCGGATGATGTTAAGAGGTGGACGCAAGACTCATTTCGTTTTCCTCCCTATCAGTATCAAGCACGGCATTGTCTTTCAAACAAACATGGGGCAATGCGCATTCCTGATGTTGAGGAAAGAGAGGTGATAATGGGATTCCCCAAAGGGTATACTGCGCAATGTATGCCAAAGAGCAAACATGGTTCGCAAGCATACCAGGATTGCCGTTTGACATTGGTGGGAAATTCCTGGAATGTTACCATTATTGCGTGGTTACTATCCCGGCTGGGAGCTCGTTTAGGTTTGAATCCCAACTTGAGGGTACAAGATCTGGTGGAACGCACCGCACCAGGAAGTGAAACGGATTTCCAGACCTACCTGCAGCGGCCTATGATGGGAAGCTGCCGACGGGTGGGGCACCTGGCTAATGAGCTTAAGCTGGTTCGGAAATTGTGCACGTTGATCAGTATCAAAGGTGATGACCTTTTGATTCAGCCGTCTACGGACGATCAGGTCAAATATCAGAGATTAAGGGCGTCCATTCCATCAAAGTTGTGGAAATGGCGTACCATCTGTGGATGGACCTGGTCGCAACAAGCTGAGCATATTAATGTGCTTGAGCTTCGAGCCGTTCTTACGGCTTTGAGGTGGCGGATTGAACGCAAAGGAATTACGCATTCCAAGTTTGTGCATTTAGTTGATTCTTTAGTGTGCCTGCATGCGTTGAGTAGAGGACGGTCATCTAGCCGTAAGCTAAAACGTACCTTGCTTCGGATCAATTCCCTGCTTCTTGCGACCAACTCCCACGTTTTGTGGGCTTACGTGAATACAAAGGACAATCCGGCGGACGCCCCGAGTAGGCGGCCCCGGAAAAGAAAATGGTCCAATGCCTAAAAGACGTTTGGAAGGAAAGACGCAAGAAGATAGGGTAAAAATCCGTAAAAGCTTAGGTACGTTAAGGGAACTGACCGTCCAACCTGTTACAAAGGCACGTTATGCTCAGGCACGTGAAAACTTTTACACATACTTGCGTGACCACCATCTAACCTTGCCTAACCATGGTGTCGCTTTGGATGCAATAGTCAGTGATTATATGGAGCATCTGTGGGCCACCGGTGCGGGTCGCACGGAAGGCTCAAATATCCTTGCGGCATTACAAGATGCCCAGCCTCAATTAAAAGGCAAACTTTTGGAAAGTTGGCGTCTTTTGAAAACTTGGACAACGCATGAGGTGCCAAACAGAGCTCCTCCTCTGCCTTTAGAAGTCTTGCATGCCATGGTTGGGTACGCAACTTTTAAACAGAACTGTAGATTAGCTCTCAGTTTTTTGCTAGGGTTTCATGGGCTCCTGCGGACGGGAGAACTCCTGCAGATTAAAGGGAGTCAAGTTTCTATTCGTTCGCCGCGTGGTCCCGCTGTGATATCGTTGGGGTTAACCAAAAGTGGCAAGCGTCAGGGGGCAGCAGAGTCTGTCACCATTTACGTTGAAGATGTTTGCCGACGCTTGTATCAATGGGTGCAGAATTCCCCTTCGAACCAACTTCTCGCGGGTCCAGCGCATCAATGGCGTAAAGAATTCTCCGCTGTTATGTCCGTATTGGGGTTCTCGCAGTGGGATTTTCGCCCCTACTCATTGCGAAGGGGAGGGGCAACCTATCTGTTTTCAAACCAAAGCAATTTTGATCGGCTTTTGGTAGCTGGTCGTTGGCAATCCGCCAAGACTGCAAGAGTTTATTTGAATGAAGGGTTATCGGTCCTAGCTGAACTCTCCTTACCGTGGACACGATTTTCAAAAAATTTTCGTCAGCAATACTCCCGTAGTCTCACCTTACCCCTGCCTCCACTTGAGCTCGTGCCAAAGGCACAGAGCAGGGTGACTCGGAAGAAGGCAAACAAGCGCACAAAAAAGCACAAAAAACGCATTGGATGCGTGACACATGGGTTTAGTCCTTCTGATCTTGGGTTTGGCCGGACAGAAGGAAGCCCTATTGCTAATACCTTGGCTGGAATCTCTTTAGGTTTGGCTGGGAGTTTCCAGGGGTATTGGGATTGAAATCCCTGGACTGGTTGTTTTGTGCTTCTTGGTGGGGAAAAGCTTTTCGGTGATTTTTTAATTTTGATACACTTGACCTTGCAGAGCGACAAAAGTTGTGGCGCTGAACGAGTCTATGATTTAACGCCCTCGGTTGAATAGATGAGTGAAGTTTTAACATACTTTTGCCCTGGAGTTTCGGCTTAAGGGCCCCCCCTAGTTTCACTTTCCCCCCCGGAAGAAGGCAAACAAGCGCACAAAAAAGCACAAAAAACGCATTGGATGCGTGACACATGGGTTTAGTCCTTCTGATCTTGGGTTTGGCCGGACAGAAGGAAGCCCTATTGCTAATACCTTGGCTGGAATCTCTTTAGGTTTGGCTGGGAGTTTCCAGGGGTATTGGGATTGAAATCCCTGGACTGGTTGTTTTGTGCTTCTTGGTGGGGAAAAGCTTTTCGGTGATTTTTTAATTTTGATACACTTGACCTTGCAGAGCGACAAAAGTTGTGGCGCTGAACGAGTCTATATATATATGTATATATGTATATATACGTGGTATATCTTGGTATGGTTTCCCGGCTTACCATTGTCAAATCATACCAATCGAACTATCCAATTTTGCTTGACGAGCTCAGCGGGGAAAGACTGAAGCAAACATTTCCCATATGTTCCATGTATGGCATTCTGACATCTTGTTAACAAGTATTTTTTTGGAGTAGAATGTTGGCATCTATATGGATGTTTTTTGTGGTATCGATCATGGACCCTCAAAATATGGGTGTTACGGGAAACAAAAAACAACAATGCACAGCTGATCCCTGGTGATGGTTTGTGGATATCACCGCCTAGCTATAGGGTTTTAACCAGCAACGATGGGGACGGATAGGCAGCATGGTCGTTGCTCGGTGATGACTTGTTTGGATTTTGGATTTGGGACGTCTAGTCCTAGTGTTGTCATATTGATGACGCTGTATGGCCTTGCAGCCTGCTGTTGAATCATTTTTGCTACCCATCTCTCAGCCGAATTGGTTTGCCTGCTTTGCGGCCCATAAACAGCAATGAAATCATGAAGTATGTGTTTTTCGTTTTTTTTCAGGGTGGCCGACAGGAACTGAAATCATCAATCCAAATCACAGTGTATACAATTAAGTCACGTCAAGTTCCTGGTAGGCTTTTGGTTGATGGTTTGTTGGTTCGAAGAAGTGGCCATGCTGTAAGGACAAATGCAACGTTCCTGCTCCTGTTTTTGCATGTCTTGGCTAGGTTGCCTCCCCGCGAGCACGCGACCAACCCGAAGCAGAAATGAACAGGCGCAAAATCCACACATGGTGTGGCACCAAATTTACGATCAAACGTGATGAACCAACCGCCAGCAGTACTATAATTTCGTTTCAAGGTGGAGGCTGGCCCTACATACTTGGAAACATCATGATAAACCATAAACATCTAAGTTTTTCAGTATTTTTCGAGGAGCAAAACCTGCAACAACCCCACACAAATTATGGAAACGGTGAATGTTCCATCGAATTTATTTGTTCATGCCTTCGCTGTGGGTTAAAAAACAATGTCACCACTGTCGCCACCAGTGATTTAGGTGACCCCAGCGCCCCAGTTGCTGTAGATCTTATTACCCCATTTAGCTGACATGATGACATCCAAGACGACTTGTACCACCCAGATGAAAAGGCAACAGTAACAGTAACAGGCCTACCGGTCCACCTTTTGAAATGATATAAAAATTGAAGGATCACAAAGAATTCTGAGACATCAAGAAACCAACACATTATCGATCTATTGGTAGTTCCTGACTTTCCCTAACATTTGACCCCACAAAAGAACCCCACAAAAGAGACGCAAATGGATCCGCAGAAACCAATTATATAGAAGATCTCCGGTTGCCTACTCGGAGGGGCGCCGAAAGATTGCCATTCAATATTTAAAGAGAACAGATTTGGTTAAATCGGGGAGGCTCCATTTCACGGCAACTCATCTTTTTTTTTGGGGGGGTTGGTGCTTTCATGTCGTGATGATCCCAGGTGAGGCAGTTTGGGACCACCCGGGTACACTCCGCAGGTGCCGCCACCCCATCCTTGTCTACAACCAGCGCAGCTGGGCGAAGGGGTGGTGTGAATGCCAAACTGTGAATGCCAAACGGGTGGAACACCTCCGCCCCAAACACACATGGAACATCAAGGAAATCAAGGGAAGGGTTGCGGACATATTTTTTTAAATTATTTTTTCATTTCGAGATGGTGCATTTGGAAGCATTTGGTGTTTTTGTGTCAGTGATATGATACATTGTATATTTCGATAAATTTCGGGGAGATTCGGACCCATCTTGAATCTGAAGTGCATCCTGTTTCATCAGTCTTTGGTTCTCCATGCCAAGAAGTCGCTAGCCCTTTTTCAGTCCCTAAACTGAGTTATTAAGGTTGTGTATATAGGATGCTGGCCCTTACATCAGTTTAACATAGAAATGCATGAATCATTGTATATGTATATATATATATGTATATATATATGTATATATATATGAATATATATATATATGTGTATATAATGTATGCATATATGTAAACAAATAAATCAATAGATAATAAATGATTATATATATATAAATAATTTATATACAAATATATATATATATACGTAGATCCTGTTGGGTGCCCCGTTGGGGAGCTCCACACATTGCCAAAGTGGGGTACCAGAGGATACCATGAAATATTGTATCTTCCCATGTCTCTCCATTTTAGCGGGGAGCCATCAGCCAGCCATCTAAGTGGGCACGTTTCAAACACAAGTGGGGGATGGTCTGAATGTGATATTTAAGGGATACAGATGTTTTAAAAACATGATTGTGTCACTGCTTTTTGCGGGATATCATTGAGGGGACGATTGTGATATAATTATTGTGGTATCACATTGCCATCTTTGGTGTTTACCCACAAAAATCTGCAAACATGCTTCAAGAAATTGTAGCTGATGGTGGTTTATAAGCTAAGCTTTGGTTAACGCCAACGCGGCCGGGGGTTGCCCATCAAAACATAAACTGAATTGAATTTCCTGAAAAACTTAAGAACTATCATGGATTTTTGTTTGAACCTTGGGTTAACAGAAGTTAACATGTTCATCACCCCGAGGTAAGACCCTCAGCTGGTGAAACCTTTTCGATCGAGGCTGCAGCCGGCGCAATTGCCCTGGAGATGAAGCGCCCAAGGCGGCCCAAGTTGTTGGGATCCCATGAAGGGATGATTTCGGGGGAGGCCAAAGCGGCCAAGGCGGCCAAGGCGGCCAAGGCGGCCAAGGCCGAACATGGAAGGTCAGGTGATTGCTTGATTGGACGTATTTATGGCTTACCCTCCCATAAATGAATTTGGAAGATGAGTTTCCACTAAAAAGTTGCTAGTTTCAGGGTCTGTGTCGATGTGTGTGGGGGGGTGTACCTTTACTTTGCCAGGTCTTTTTGTTGGTTTGTATCTTGTTGACATGTAAGGGTTTAAAGTGGGTCATTGGGAAAATCCTGGATGTTTGAGTTGATGGGCAGGAAGTGGGCATAGAATGATATGTCCATGAGCAAACAATGGTCTTACACAGTCAAAGGCAATTTGGGTTCGTCCCAAATAGCAATTAATTCATAAGAATTCATGTGGGGAAAAGACGTGCCAAAGCTATGGGATATTGGGGTTCCTACTTCTGAGGCATCCCCTTAAAAGGGCTCAACTGAAACTTCACTGCTTTGAGACTTCAATGGGTATGAAAGTAAAACCTCTCTGGATCGTGTCCTTCTCACATACGATTGATATGATTGACAATTGGCTGGACCTGCAACACAACATGTACGCAAGTAGTAATTACGTCAATG